TGTCCTTCCCAGTCCGTTCCTCGCTTTCTCCCTCATTGCACTCAAGGTTCTTGGTCTGAAAAAAAGAAAAATTCTCGCGCCGAATGGTCAACCAGCCTAGTTCAGCTCGTCGCCACCTGCTCCCTCCTCCTTTGATGGCGAAGCCAGGTTACTGAGGCAATACAGCTCCCTCTAGCAAACCTAGGGCCGTGTAGTGCCAGTCCACCTTTCTAGCAGTACAATTCTTCTACCATTAATACTGTCGGAGACAGAGGCCGGTGCCTTGGCAGTATTATCCCACTGCCAGGGGAAGGCTATTTCCTCTCGTGATATGTAGACGAGGAGAAGAGGGTAGAAAGAGAGAGCGGTCAGAGAGAGCAGAGGGAGAGGAGAGTCGAAGACTCTCCGCTTCTCCTTTCGGCAAGTGGCCATGGACTTCGGAAGAGACAAATCTCCGACGGTGCGTTCCTTGTCACTCTCCCAGTGACAAGATACCCCGATGGAGCTATATCTTCCTACACTTTGTATGTGCACTCATGGTTGGTTATACTCCCGACAGGTGTCCTCCACATCACCCCCCCCTCTATGCGCCACAAGTCCATCTGTGCTAAAGATGTGGTTTTGGCGGTCAGAGACATGAGTGGCTCGTGGAGACACATGTATCGGAGTTAACCTACCTGGTACAACATCATCAACTCGGCCTGATCATCCTACAACGCGTGTTAAAAAAACACGGAGTCCTCAGACGGAGTAGTGATAGATGTGATTCATACTAGTATAGCCTAGAAAAAAAAACAATTTGAGTACTGGGCTATTATGATGACAGCTAGTGTACTACTAGAGTTGGAGGTGGAATAATTTTTTGTGGTGGTTGCACAAAAGTACCTGCAGTAGGCTCGTGCGTCTGTTACAGAAGAACGGGGGGCGGTCCATCATCACCAGCTAGAGAGGGGGGTGGTATCCATCATCATTCGCTAGAGGGGGGGGTGGTGTCCATCATCAGCTAGCGAGGGGGGTGGTATCCATCGTCATCAGCTAGAGAGGAAAAAAAAACGTTGAAAAATACCCCTGGAAAATGGAACAACACAACTTCCAATAGTTTTCGGTAGCGGAAACGATTGGAAAGGACCGATGCTACAAAAATATAATTCCCATGGATACCAGGGGACGCTTGGAAATCCCCCCCGTTTACGGGTTTGCAGCCGAGCGCCAGACGACGCACTCGACAAAAGTTGCCGGGAAGAAAACGATATTCAGCACTCGTAACGCTGATTGTTGTCCTAATGCGAACTATATTGCCGGGTGGACTGCAATGGGGACTCTTTCCCCCTTGTGTCCAACTTTAAGTCTTTCACTATAGCTGTGCGCATTCAGCAATGGACCGTACGAGGCAATTTCGCCATGGCGGGGCGGCGTGACAGCTAACCTAGCTGTGCTGTTGCTGCCGCTTCCTGTATGATACTTCAGAAATTGATGTGGTGACATGGTATCCTCTCGCCACAATTTCATGCGTTAAGTAATGGAATGATAATTTGCATGCATGGCATGAACTCTGTGGAATTAAGTAGAACAACCCAACAACAACGTTATACATCAGTAGCATCATTGGTTCAGTGGTAGAATGCGTGATTGCCATTCACGCGACCCGTGTTCGATTCACGGATGATGCATTCTCCTTTTGGCATAATTCCACTTCTTCAATTCACGAATGATGCGTCTTCGTTGTCGCCCATTTCATCATTGTGGCAAGGGCCGTTTTAATCAGCCCCGTTTTTTCAAAAATTTTGGAGTGTTTCCAAATTTAGGTAACTTCGCGGAGCGAACACGAAGGCAAAAAAATTGAAAACTTCGGGTTAGCGGCTGGCTGAGCGTGTTGTCGAAAGATCACCGACCCACGGTTTTACATGTATGGACAAAAAAGACACAGGAACAGTGTAAAAGAGGGTGATTCTGCAGTAGACAAGTTCGCCGGCCACAGCTGATTGTACGTGAAGTGGTCACAGAAGCGGTCGTCACGGTCGCCGCTAGCTGCTAACTAGCTGCTAACTAGCTGCTGAGTCAGTACCTTCTAAGGGACGTCTTCCACCCGTGGCCACAGGCGAAAAGATACCCTTGCCTTCAGAAAGGAAAATGCCCCGAAAGGGTACGCAACAATCCTCAACGGATCTCCGTGATGACATTTAGAGCCATAGTACCACTGCTGTTGTAGGAGTATACACTACTGCTGCTGCTGCGCAAAAAACACAAGCCTACTGTACACAATGACATACTGCTCAAATACTTGCGCCTTCTCCAGTGTCAACAGCGCGGCTGCACGTACGTATGCATAGTAGTTTGTGCGTGGTACTGCTTTCCGCGTCGAAACCGCCGAGAAAAGATTCGCAAGCTTGACTGGCGCATCTACCTGTGAAACAAACATCTAGACTAGCTCAGACGCTACGTGAGGAGACAACGAAGGGGGCAAGCCGGTGCAGAGGAAACAGCGCGAATGCTAGCGCTTGAACAGCGTCAGAACTTTTTCCAGACCCGTCTTACGAGTATATGATTCGAAGCATTGGTTAAATCGGTTGAAAACAGCCCTTTCGATGAAGTACCCCCGTCAACGGGATGTGCCCAAGTTTTTTCATTGAGTGGGGAAAGTCCTACCTCTCTGTCTGGCAATGCCTACCTCTCTGTCTGGTAATGTAGAGCACATTTGGAAATTCGGCAACACAGTGGACCCCTAGACAATGGGACAACACAACTTCCAAGTAGTTTTCGGTAGCGGATACGATTGGAAAGGGCCGGTGCCACATATGATTCCACGGTCACCTGGGGACGCTTGGGAATCCCTCCCGGATTCAGGTTTCCAGCCCAACGCCAGGCGACGCATTCGACAAAGGTTTCCGGGAGGTATACATTATCCAGCAGTCGCAGCGCTGATTGTTGTTCTAATGCGAACTATATTGCCCGGTGTACTGCAATGGAGACTCATTCCCCCTTGTGCCCAACTCAAAGTTAGTCTTTTGTCATACTATCTGGACATCCAGCAATTGACGGTAGTAGATATAGGCAATTCAGCCATGGCAGGACGGTGACAAAGCTAACCTGGTTGTACCTTGTGTGCCGCTTCCCGTATGATACTTCAGAAATTGATGTGATGACATAACCTCTTTTGCCACAATTACATACGTTACGAAATGAGCAGAGGCCAAAATCGGGTACACCCGGTCCAACCACGGCCATAATCGGGTACCCCTACAAGATGCTGCTGGGAGCGACCGCATAACATCATCAAATTGTCCGACGCCCAACCCTACCCGACCTTGACTGTCTTTCCGTCGGGTGCACCCGATGTTGGCTACCAACCCCCCGGAGGTACCCGATTCTCCTTTCTCCTACCCGAAAATGGCTGCGCTGTTCGGCCAAAACCCATCAGACAATCACGGGTCGGACGCACAACGCTGGTCGCTCGTTTGTCGCCAATGAGAGACTGGCGGGGCAGAGAGCATGTCGTCATGTCTATTTTTTAGATGCATGCGTCTCGTGTGTGTCGCATCCCGTGAGTGAGCTATTCATCCAGCTCTTCTTGATCATTGCACCAACCGCCTGCCGTTTCCCCCAAGCGAGAGTTCCACCACCGGCGGTGGGTCCGCCTCTGACATGTGCGTGTGGGAATGGGTTTTGGCCGAACAGCCCAGCCATTTTCGGGTAGGGGAAAGACAAACCGGGTACCCCTCCAGCGGGTGAATAGCCAACACCGGGTGCACCCGGTGGAAAGACGGCCAAGGTCAGGTAGGGGCTGGGGTTGGATGGTGCCATGCGGTCGCTTGCAGAAGCATCTTGTAGGGGTACCCGATTATGGCCGTGGTTGAACCGGGTGTACCCGATTTTGGCCGCTGCCCTTACGAAATGAAATGATGACATGCTCATCATGAACTCTGTGGGTTTAGATAGGAAGATCCAATGACCAATCGCGTCTCCAAGTGGTAGAATGTGTGATTGCCATTCACGTGACCCGTGTTTGGTTCATGGTGGACGCACATTCTTTTTCACCCGATTTATTTCCCGCATGTTATTTTCCGACTGATTTCCTCGTTATTCCTCTCTCGCCGCGCTGGCCTACGTTTTTTTTTTTTTTTTTTTTTTNGATGCGACAAGAGTTCAGCACTCTCTTCTCTCTGTGTACACACGAACTAGCGCTATCCACTAGGCCAGGAGTGGAAGCGAGAACACAACTCACTTTGCAAGAAAAGCTCGCTTACGCCGGGATTCGAACCCCTGNTAGTGTCGTTTTATTCCAACCCGTGGTCACACAGAGGAGCCCCTCTCTACCCTCTCCTCCTGCGGTACTTTGCCTTCGATTTTTGATGCGACAAGAGTTCAGCACTCTCTTCTCTCTGTGTACACACGAACTAGCGCTATCCACTAGGCCAGGAGTGGAAGCGAGAACACAACTCACTTTGCAAGAAAAGCTCGCTTACGCCGGGATTCGAACCCCTGACCTGACCTCTAGAAGGTTTCGATGTTACCAACTACACCACCGGGGCGACCGGCATATGTACAGTCCAAGCAAGTTTTTTTTTCGTTCTTCACTACGCTTTTATTGTTAGCCTTGGCTGGTCAAGTATTTTCCTGTTTATTTGGTTTATTTTGTACGGCCTCGCGAGTCGAGTGAGGGCGATGGGCTCTCTATGGATGCCTATTTCTGTGTTGAGCAAGTTACTTGCGACGTCTGACCTCCTAGGCCGTGTGTCATATGTTGCCTTTCACGCAACCCGCCTACGACTCACGGACGATGCATGACTTTTCCTCTTTTTACCCAGCCGCTCTTTCTGATCTTTGTCCATGCCTTTAAACTATTTTGCTCACCTTCTCTGGGCCAAACCTGCCGACGTATACCACCAGCAATCCTTCCGGGTTCCCGAAAGTCAGGCGATTCCGCACCTCGGCGTTGCTGTATTTGTTTTGACAACACGCAATACGGGCAGAGTGTAGGATTGACACCAGCAACAGCGACTCTAAAATCAAGTAAATAGAGCCAGAACGGCAGGCCTTCAAACAAGGTCAGGTTTGCAATATACCTTATACGTTCTACTGTATCACTAGAGGACACTCTGTTTCAGCGGCGAGTGTGTTTTGGCGTGTTTTACATACTTCTCAGGTGGTTTTACCGAGGGCAGTAGTAGCGGCCTTTACTCTCCAGAAATAACACCAAATTGACCGACACCCAGCGCCTTATACTACTTGTGCTCGCCGCTACTGACCCCAATCTCCTGAACTACGTGTTTCTGCAGTAGCCCATGCCACTAGCTACTGCTAACGACCCGTCGTTAAGGGGTTTACGGTCCGTGGCGGTGAGCACGGCTGTGACCAAGGTTGGGCTCCGCCGTAGATTGCGGTCTCTTTTCAGAAACTGCTGCGACCTTCGATATTTCAGCTCCAGTAGCAAACCTCAACGTGCCAGCACAAAGGACGCCTCTTCATAGTGTCCTCTACTGATAACAGTAGAATGTGGAACATCAAAACGGCGGGGAAGGTTGCTTCCTACTTTACATTGGATTGTATGTATGAAAGTAGACTCAACGTCACAATAGCGTGTCTTCAACCCCTTTAGCAGTTATCTGGCAAAGAAGCAACGCGCTCGCACCTTAAAAAAAAACGGGAAAAGAAAAAATGGGACGTACATGTTTGCATCAATCGAGGCGAACAGCACTACACCTCCTGGCCTACTTTCTTGCGGCAGACGCGATACATTTTAGGCAGACAAGACACACGCCTACATACACATATTCCGTTTCGGAAAGCGTCTCACGGATGTGTAGTGTAGTCCACGAAGTAGAAATCGTTAAGCACGATAGACGACCCTATCTTGTCATTGTTGCTTTCTACAACATCGATCTCAAGGGTGTAGGAAAAAAACCAAGAGGAAAAATAGTAGTCTCACCTAACGCCTGGCCTAAACTGTCCAACCGTCACCCCGGTCTTGATGATGTGATCACAGACGACGCCTCGCCCCGCCAGCTTTGACTGGATACAGCCAGGTTTCAACGAACAACAGAAGAGGTCAGAACCGTATCGCGAGTAGGATAAGAAGGGTGTACAACGTGTTTTTGGCAAATGTGTCCGTCTTACACAGCCGATTGGTTTGAAATTAGGTTTGCATGAATCCTGACTTTCAGTACTAGAGCTACATCCTAGAGCTGCATCACGCGCAAACTTCGCTTCGCCAAGTTGCCGTGACAAAACCCTAACCCTAAAACCATGGGGTAGACTTTTATGGATGGCACTCACGACCACCAGCTTGTTCTCGCTACCCTTGTCCCGATGAAGATATTCGATGGTGAGCAGCAGAGACATCATTAGCTGGGCACCATAAGTAAAAATATACAGCCAGTTCATGTTCGGGAAAGCGTTCAATCCGAGGCATTCAGATTTGATTTGGTGAAGAAACAATGTCTGCTCAAAACGACCGTTGCTAGGCACGTCCACACATGCCGCATTTGACAAATTTGCGCTCATGTTGTGTGTCATACATGTAACTACCATACCACAGGGAACGTTCACTGCGTGAATGAGCGTACATGTAGGCGAATAGAAAACGATCCCTGATGGTTGAAGGTCGGGAAGAGGGTGACAATTAAGAATAATTGGTGTCGATGTCGGAGATTCAATATGGTCATAAGTCAATATGGTCATAAGTCAATATGGTCATACGTCAATATGGTCATAATCCAACAGTACGGAAACGCGGGCTCGCTCTTGGACATGCTCAACGGAAGTTGTTAGCTGACTCACATGAAAAAAGCAAAAGAGCATCAAAGGCAACAACCTCAAAAGGACGGACTTGTCGGGGACGAGCACCGCGTTTATATTTGACACAACCCTGGATACAAGGAGAGTTCAGTAACCAGACGTTAGCAAGCCAGACAAGGGAGGTAAGCAGAAACCTCAAACAGCGACGTAGTGAAACAGGACATCGCGAAAAAGAAAACCTTGACGATCGCGTGATGACGATGTTTATTCTCATAATTAGTGCCAGTTTCAACGCATACTTGCCGTGGAGCCGATCCCTGTTTGCTGCGTATCACTGGCAAATCGTTTGGATACTGCTGAAACTGAGTTCGTACAGATCACCTTACCCTTGTCATGCCAAAGCCATTCACAACCCAATCGATCACCATACGCCATTCACCACACCTCATGCCGACTACTGACATTCTGCGAATTACCTTGAAGGATGGAGAAGTGGTCGCACAGCTGTCGAGGAGCCGGCTCTCGACCCCCTCCTTGAACGTGATCAGCGAACCCGCAATAGGCGCCACATTCAACTCTGCCAGCAGCTCCTGATGGATGGTTATATTCATAATATTGAAATCTAAAACGCTCAGTCCAAGCATTAAAACGTGACTCAGTAGTACGGGGTCGGTGTCAATGTATCACAAGCCACGCTCCACCGGCGTATTGCTCCTGGACATTGGCTAATATCCGATAAAAAAAAAACGTGTCGATATTTTCTGTGGTGCTTCCGGAATTTCAACCGAACAGGTTCGAGGAGACCAACAAACAATTGGCAAGGCTTGGAACAACCCCGTTTGTTCCGGGTGTGTCATCGATAGTACACGGTGCTATTTAGTACGGCCATGCGGTGTTTACACGAACGTCGGTGCGCCCTGAACCAACAACTTGCACGTCGCTGCATGATTAACAACACGAAGAGCAAAGGAACCGATGCACGGCAACACAGGAGGCGTCACAACATTCCATGACATACTGCTGCGTTGTCGGCGACGGCATAGCAACGATACAGCACAGAGCAAAGCGTAGCGGTTCGGGTTGAAGAACAAATATTCGAGAAAACATCGGGTTTAAGGGAGTGTTGCTTGTTCTGACCACGAGAAACACATACACTCCACAGTGTGAAAAAATATTCGGGAGAAATCGGGCGTAAGGGAGTGTTTGTGCTTGTCCCCGACCATGAGAAATACATACATTCCACGGTACGCTTTAAAGATAAAACCGGCTTGAAGAGTGTTCGTTGGCTTGTCCCAGCCCTCTCTTCAACCGTAGCCGCTACTGTACCCGGTTTCGCCGACTTGAGATGGACGTACCTGTACGTCGGTGTGCACAGAGCCCACAACGGGTACATGGTAGAACTTGGCAGCGAGAATGAAGAAGGCACTGATGCAGTCCAACGTGCAGTGGAGCACGTCGGGCCCCTCGAGCCGAATGGTGTTGCAGATCAGATTCTGGGACGTGAGAACGAGTATCGAAAGGCACGAGGTCGGTTGTGGGCGTGAAGCCGTCGGAGGAGTGTTTCAAAAATTGTAGTCCACAAAGTTTTGGGATCGCAGCAACAGCAGGCAGGAGATGCCAGCCGTCGAAGGCACTTCGAGAAACTCCGAACCGCGAACGTCAACACGTGCCACACGTGATTTGAACCAAGTCATGCCTGTTTAGTGGGATATTGAACCCTCGTCTCGCAGTGGCCTATGGTGAGGTACCATCAAACAGCGTTAAGAGAAATCCTGAATCAGCGCGTAGGGGTGAGCCAAGTGTGCCAACGACTTGTAGACACAACAGCAACGCTTGTACCAACACATGAAAAGTACCGCAAATACCACAGCCACCCCCTACAACCCAAACCACAGCAAGTCACCGGCAGCGAGATATCAGCATGCGCACGTGTCTACCTTCCATCCACAATTGCTTGTGTGTATAAGAGTTTTGTGTAGCTTCCAATAGCTCGCTTGCCGCGTTGGGAGTCCAAACAACAACTCCTCAATTACCTAGAGTACATGGCCTGCGGTACTTCGCCAAAATCGCAAGCACCGCGCGGACGCCCATTTCGATTAAGCCAATCAACCACTGTTCGCGTTTAGAAAGAGCATCCCTCATCACACCGAACGACAGCACCGCCAACGTCCAACAATCGACACTCACCATGTTCGTGAGCGTCGGCATGGCCAGCCTTTTGGTAGGGTACACTGCGAGGAAGGACGAATCCAGCGTGACGAATCTGTTGCATTCGGCCATAGGGGGAGGGCGAGACAATGAACGGCAAGTGTCGGAGATCAGACGTTTGCCCACATTCGAGATCAGGTTCGTCGAAACCACGGCTCACCGCCGTTGCTCCACAGGGTATCGTGAGGCTCGACAAGCACATCACCCTCCGCAAATCTCGACGTTTGCTCTCATCTTGTTTGAGGGCACTCCGGTCGGAATTTGCAGAGGCAAGTGGAAAAAATCCTGACGCAACGCTTGCGATACACACTGAGTCGGCGCTGGAACTGATTTCGCGAGAGCAAAAATCTTTGCCCTTGTCATAGATAAAGTTTCACGCCACCCACGGGCAAACAGCTCAACTCGGGGATACAAAAGACTCTCTGCAGGAGTGGCACCTTTCCGCCCGTTTCCTGAGCGCTGCAATACAGCACAATCGCTGCCGGTGCCAAAAATCGTCCGCGTATGTATCTCTCGTACCTACCGTTTGCGTAAAATCTCGCCCATCCGGGCGTTGGTATGCATACATCACACGGATTGGCTGCTTCTCCGAACTCGATGACTCGCTAGCTACATTACAAGTCCATGGGTGCCCGCACCCATTCTACACAATCGAACGAGGATGTTCGGGCCAGCGTAGCCGGCGATGAGGTTAGTGGCGTTCAACAAGAACAAGTTACCACCTTCGAGTGACACGAGTGCAGCAACTCTTTGTCTTACTGCTGTGTTCGTATCGGACAGCTTTGACGGCGAAGGTAACTTCGGGTAGGGAGTGGCCGAGGTACCTCAACGCCGTTTTTAGTGGCTGTCTCGTGGGCATGGTATGCGATGGTTCTAGCTAAGGTACCTGATGGGTTTCGATGCGGGATCGGCGGCCGGCTCCAGCTGGGGGTGCTTCTCGAGGGTGAAGACGAGCATCTGGGCCATTGACGTGTCGCATGAGGAGAACGTAGGCGGCAGACGAAACAAGGAGGGCGACCTCCAAGAAATCAGGTCGAGAACTCTTCCGTTCGTCGCGAACGTGCCGTTAATATTTAACACGGAGAACATGAATATTTTTGCAGAGGAAACATCACTGCAAGTACGCAGGGGCGCCAAGAAGAGTAAACGTCCTTGATGCAGATCGACAGTCTGTCTAGACGTTGCCGGGTGGAGAGAGAACCATGCAATAAAAGAGTACCGTAATGGATGTGAAAAGGTGTCGTGCACAGCAGTGCAGCAATGCAAACAACGTTTCAGAGTTGATCATGCGCCACGCTGTGCCCGATTCCCCACCTCGTGGCCCTGCTTGACGAGCTGCTGCAGCAACGATGCCATCCTCCGAGAGACCCCATCGACAGCTGGAGGGATGGAATGGCTATAGAGTGCGATTTTCATCTTCAACCCTGAAAACAAATGCAAGTAAGCGCGTGAGTGTGAGAGCAAGACCTCGCCCAAGCTGGTCCTGCTGCATGCTACCGTGCTTCCACACATCGACAGCTCCCGTACGGACACGATAATATTACATAGTACGAAGTAGTAGGGTTCCTCTGGTCAACTTTTCCAAATCCAAGGTCTGTGCCCGGCGGCTAGCAAACTGTCGCGAGTCAAGGAAAACGGTACTACAAACGAATCTTGATGACCCTAGATAACGCAACAAAGCACCCAGCGAGCATAGGAGGCAATTGTGCCCGGGCACGGGCGGGTTGGCCGGTTCTGTATTGCCGAGCCTGTGCCAACAGACGTGGCGGCGATGAGCATGGAGATCTCTTTCTAGTCGTGCCTCATCTTCCGCACTTCTCACCGCAAATCGACCTCCGTTACATTACAATATTACCAAAAGCCCACCCGACGACTGGCGCATCAAACGTATCCCGAATGGTGAAAGCTGGCGCCTACATGGGGCCAAACACAAACGCAAAAAGTCGGCGCACTCACGGAGAAATCAATTTTTAGTCAATCCTCACTGTATAACCTTCACCGTATCCCCTCTGATAAATACTACAGAGAGGAGAAAGAATTTTTGTGATGGCATGTATGACATGATTTCTTCTTCCCCTCCAAATAAGGCCGCGCAGCAGCGAGTCCAATACATCAGAAACACCTCACGCAACCCCTGTTATGTATCACATGATCATCACATGGTAAGATAAGGACACGGCTACACGAAACCGCGCGCACTACAAAACCAACGTAGACTACGCCTTTAACTGTGGAGGCAACAGCTACATGCGTAGCAATCAACGAAGTGGCCATCTACCGGAGGAGACATAACAAATCACACACCCTGGACCCACTTTCAACGATCGAATTCTCCAAAGCAGAAAGAGTGGCGGTGTAAAACAAGGCGGCGTTGGGACAGCCACGCCGACAGCTTTCCCAAAACGTACAGCATCGTTTGATTTACCATAGGTTTTCTTTTCAGATGTCGGCCGATCAGCACACACACATGACGTGGATACTACGCACACGTAACGTGGATATCGTGACAAACGGGTCGAGGCTATCGCTGTGTGTGCATGCGCTACACACAAGCCAGAAGACTGGGGCCCACTTCACCAATTAGGCACCAAATTACGAAACAATGCTTGCGGATTTGCCGGTGCCGACACAACTGCTTCCCGCTTAAACAATGCTCATTGCGTCGAGATAGAACTTACAGTCCGGAAGCATGCATTACCCCGAAAAGAGAGAGGTGTCAATCTTAGGGTCACAGGTTCTTACGCTGCTGATCTGATGCAGTATGCATTGGATGTAGGGAGAGAGGCAGACATGGATGACGGGGATAATGGGAGATACTAAGGAGAGAGCAGCGGGAGGGTGTTGTTACTGGTGTGCGAGTGTCTATTGTGCAACCTGTGTCATTCTTACTTGTCTCATCACCTATCACACGCTTTGCAATTGTCTTGAGAAACGAGTTGAGCACAGGGCGAGTTTCTATTTTTTAGGTGATGGCCACCTCCCTGTGTGAATCACCGTCGCCCCCAAGCGCTCAAAACAGACGCAAAAGCCTACTGAAGGTAATTCCTTTTCAGGCGAAAGCAAAACAGTTCTTACCTCCCCCAATCTACAGTGTGGTTTGTATCTTCGCAGTGGAGTAATTGAGCTTTGAACATCGGGCCAGGGGGAGCGATATCTCATGTTATTTAAGGTATGAGTACGCCGCGGTCGGGTTTCATTGCATCGCATTACACCAGAGTGTGTGACCGGAGAATGCACCATCCCCTCCGTTTGACACCCAGGCAGATTTCTCCACGCATGGTAAGAGAGAGGCATCAGTGCCGAATACATGGAAGCTCTCGTGAGGTTTTGCTAGTCGCCCATAGTAAGCTGTGGCTTGCAACCGTTGTCAACGACACCAACTCTGGATATTTTATCGATCCACCAATCCGCCGTCTGCCGCCTCACCTTCCGCAGGTCCTTACAGAAACAAAAAAAAGAACCAAGGTTCAGATGTTTTTGCTCAGTACCTGCTGACATCCGTCATGACCCCAAGGCAGCCGGACGCCTTCCGTGGTGACACGTGAACTGCAGTACCCCCAAAAGGGTACGTATGCATATTAATGGTGTGATCATCAAGGAAAATTCACTCAAACGTGACAACGTGGACTGTAAGAGTTCCGTGGGAGGCCCGACATGTGATCGCATGAGTACGGTCGCCTGCCCGATACAAGGCCGGTGGCAAGGCCGGTAAGGCCGGTGGTGGCCTTACATCGGTTCAGGCCGGTATCGGTAAGGCTGGTGGCGTCCTTTTATCAGGCACCCCCTATGGAAGGCCGGCTATGGCCCCGCGCATGCCCCCAACGCGTGCCCACAACAAGGCCGCTCTCCGTAGTAGTTACGCTGGTTTCGAAGGCGGCAATGCTGAGGCCGCTACCTTTCTGCAGAGGGCTAAGACGGCGATGATCGCAGCGCATGCCGCACATCCCACGCGACAGGCGGACTTGAGGGAATGTCCGGACATGTTATGAGCTCATGGGAGGAGACATGCTAGGGCTTGCCGTGTCGGTGGTGGTCTGGTGTTTTTTTTCAGGAACGTTTGTCAGGATTGGGCAGTCCGTGCCACTACATGTCTCGTTTTTCGGAAGTAAGGCATGGTGCTGCCGTGTATCTTGGTCGGTTGTTACTTTGGGGTTGCAACACAACAGGGGATGAAAAACTTGATGGTGATTTGCCTACCCGTTTCGTGGTTGGGGCGTATTTTTGGGTGGGGTAAGAGCTACCGCGTGGGGGTTTAGCCATTGAACGAGATTCGCGCGTGAACTGTTTGTCTGACGTCAGGTGTTCCTCTCGCTATACATAAGTGCGTGCGGACGTGTTTTGTTCTATTGCGAAGCGGGGGGTCTGCCCGATGTTTGTTCTCTATTCTTTATTCACAGGACCGGTCGCCCCGGTGGCCTAGTGGTATCCTCGTAATCCGCTAGTCGCAAAGGTCTTGAGTTCGAATTCCCATGGGGTGAAAATTTTACGATTGCGGGTGAAAGCGAAATATAGCTAAAAAGCTATCGTGAGTACCAAATTTCGACGTAAGCACCGTTGACGAGGGAAAGGGACGGCTGGACACTTCTCGCGATAAAAATAAAACTCAGCACGCACCGCAGGAGGAAGGTGGGGCATGAAAAGAAATAAAAGGAGAAAAAAGCCCTGGTGTTTACCCCCTCTGTGTGACCCTGGATGAATGTAGTTGTACGAAAAATACACTGAAAAGTGTAGTACTCTACATACGCTGAAAAGTGTAGTACACGTCTCACCACGAAAAATGGGGGGACTGTCGCCAAAATATACAGGACGAAAACACACACACATACACATTCACAGCAGTATTCATGTTTCATGTTGGTCTGCTGGAAATCAAATTTTTGCTACCGGTTGGACATGAACATGAAAGACGAAAAAAGTTGGATGGGAGTACAAAATGAACGTGATCAGGGCATGGCCGGGCCATGGTCCGATCGTGACCCGGTCATGGCCGGGCCATAGCAAGGCACCGAGTCAAACTTACGTCCAAGGACATCGGTGGAACAATTTTTGAATCAGAAATTCAAACAAATCCAAAAAGTTGATACACCTTGGCGAGGGAGGGATGGATATCAATGGCGAGCGATACAGTGGCCCTGGGCGTGGCACTTTTCGAAGAAGCCACATTTGAGCTACAGCCCCGGCTTCCCGACATCAAACTCACCCTTAGCATCCTAGAGAGGATGGGGATGGTCACCGTTAACCCTCTTGGATGAGGAGCCGATCAGCATGTAAATTACTGTGTAGTCTATCTGCTGCTTGGTGCTTTTTGCGTAGACTACTATGGGAACGAGGAACACACGTGGCCGAGACACAGCGGGAGCGAGGAAAGACACCAACTGAAACCGCACAAGTATACATACCACCAGTACTGTATCGTGTTCCCGGACTAAATAGCGTACCTACGTGGATTCCAAGCTCCGGTCGCCAGGATCACACACCACTGCTGTTGTCCTCCAACGCACACGAGCGGGACCAAACAATCAGCAGAGAATTTGGTCCCTCCCCGAGCTTCAGTCTCCGCTCGACAGCGACGCCGAGAACCGTGTGCCGCGAACAAGCGGCAGACCAGCCGTCGGGTTCAAGCAGTGAGAGAGAGAGAGAAGGAGAGGAGAGGGAGAAAACGTGTGTGTACGGGAAGAGTCTTGTGTTCCACTGGTCCTCTGGTGGTGGTGTCTCCGTGTCTCCCTGTCTTCTTGGGTGCACATCTCCGAAGATTCACTGGTGTTCCATCGAAAGGCTTTAATTATGAACCCGGGGCTGACGCGCATGCCAAATGGTACAGTCCTTGATCGGGTGCTCACCCACCAACGCCCACCAGCACGTCCACACAGAGCAGCCATGGACTCCGGCAGAAGCCGCAACACTTGGTCAAAAACCGCCACAAGACCCACAACCCTCTTGCCGGTGTGTACACGGGTAAATAGACAAGCAGGTAGCTCGCTCCTCTACACACCGTAGCTATTGCTGTGTACCTCGGACACGACACACGACCAGCAGTTTGAGGGATGAGGTCTACCACGGCGCGTACAGCACCGGTGAGGTCGGTGACATCAGCTTGGTAGATATGGCAACCTTCGACAGCACGGCCCCTGCAAGGCAGAGATCTGGGGGTGGGTCGCAACGGGCATGTCGCTGCTCCATGATGAATAGTCTACCAATAAATTGTCCTTCGAGTATTAGCACTTTCTCAGCTGGAAAGGTCGTTGTTCATGTTTTATCTTGGTTGCACTACAGTCCACAGCAGTTGTATCGGAAAAGGAGGTTGTCATCACCCCTTTATCGAGAGTGTGCGGGCGGGCGACAAGGGAGAGCGATCTATCCTTTTTTACAGATCGATTGCTCCACGACCAAGCAAGACGGTACTACATGCATACTCTGCCAGCTACATGCACGGTAGATAAAAAGGGGTAGACTAGTCAGCCGCGGGGGGCAACCCAACATATATGTTGCAGCAGTCTATCTGCGATGTTGTGAGATGTTTCAAAGATAAATAAAAAAGGCAATCGGTAAAATTCTCTGTCCCGGTGATACGAAAAATGTCGACACATGTCCACCCTAGTCAATGTTCAGTAGCAACATCCATGATACCCCGGCATCTCTTGTGTTTGTCGTATAAACGTTCCTGGATCAGCATTGCCATTTGTACGTGTTTCGTGCATCCAAATACGACGATGTCACACTCGCTTGTCCAACCAACCTATCGAGTTTACCTGTGTATGGTCTACAAGATGGCCTATAACCGACATTACCGTCGACCACCGAGAACGCGTCTCACAGTACTCTCTGGTACAAAGACTTAGACTATTTAGGTGGCAAATCAAAGTTCAACGGAATTGGAAATTTGGAAAAATTAGAATCAAAATCGCTGTGTAAAAAATGACCATCAAAGTTTTGCCGGCCACCGAACATTGACACGCATCAGCCATCCCACCCAATTTACGCCCGTGGTCCTTGCACACCGAGGGAGAAGCCTTGCTCCCCCCTCAGCTGTAAGCGAGACGGGCGAGCTAGGTGCTCCTGCTTCGCTAGTGCGCTCATCGAGAGCCACGGCGGGCTACGGGGTGATGTGGGACTACCTCTCCTTGGCCTTACACCCGTACGGAGACCGCTGCTGTTGCCGCTCTTGCGATGTCCACGAGTGCCACTCGCGGCTGGCCGCCTATTGTTCCTACTGCTACTCCTACTAGCGGGGGGAGCGTGTCCTAGCCAACCCTTCCTTGTAGTCCGTCTTCTCCGGCTCGTTGTGCTGCTCCGCACTCCTTGCCTCGGACTGCTACTTCCACGTGAATCGAACCTACGGGTGCTGCTGCTGCTCCGCCCTCTCGTACTCTGGCCAGTGCTCTTCGCGTGTGCCCATGCACGGTTGCAGTATTGCAACCGACCACGCGCACTCTGAATGTCCTTGTATTGTACACGCCCTCGCATACTGTGACTGGTTCCATTCGGACTGCGCCCCCTCGAGTTGTTGGTCTTCATTTGCACATTCCCGGGTCCACTCGGGCTACTCCTGGCGTATCTATTTCCTCGCTCCTTCCTTTGTTCGAAGAGTCCTCGTGCTGTGCCGTTGCGCTCCCCTGACGAACTCCTCCATCCGGATTTAGCTCTTAGCTTCACGGAACTATGGGTTCCCGTGCCGGCCTTTCCTAGTAGTACCAGTCTCGATGGAGGCTCCACCAACGTTCTCTCCTTGACAGTTTTGTTCAGAGGCTTCAGATACGACAATGTGTTTGTTTTTTTTCTCGCTTTTTCCTCGGCAGCGGCCGCCTCCGCCGCTGCGATCCGTTCTGCTTCAAGCCTTGCCTCCTCTCTAGCTCTCAGCTTTAGCCTCACAGAAAGCACGGGCACGGCAACAGCCTGGGCGGACAGGGACATTATCACTAGAACGGCGCAATATATATATCGGGTATATATCGTTACGGGTGGGATCGGGATGGTATATCGACAGAGAGGTGGCTTGGTATGATAACATAGTTCGTGTACGCCTGCCTTGAAGCTACAGTTTACTTTATCAAACTTCGAGCGTGAGGTCTCGGTTGTTCGGTTCTCCCGGTACAATTTTCGAAAGCTCTCACACCCCACCTGCAGAGGCAAGGAGCGACAGCATGATCAACCTACAACTGTTTTGGGGCACCGCGCTCCCTGAAGTAGGGGAGTACTGTACCCTGGTTGTTTAGTTGTTGTCACTTTCGCACAGGTTTTTGAACAACGCCTGAAGCCTTCGTGAGTCCGACGACAGTTTTTGAACAACGCCTGGAATCTAGCGAGTCCGAGTAAAGTACTGATTCCGTACCATGGGGATACCTTTCTTCCACGATCGGTTATTCAAGCTCGGTGAAACAAAATAATGCAAGCTCTACGGGTCCAAGACCCTCGACGAGGTTTGAGTACGTGTAAAGTAGATGAAACACATAACGGGCGCCTGTTACATTCCATAACCTCGCTCTGAGCACATTGTCAAGTTGCAGCGACACGCACAGAAAAAGAAATTGTTTATTAAAGCCGATGACTACAACCGTCGAGTTTAGAGTTCCCTACCTCCTTTACCGGGCCGAAGGATGATGGAGGGTGCTGTTCTTCCTCGAAGGTAAGAGCGCTTTGCCCGTTGCCGCATAGTATCGGCGGCGGCGCTGAAAATGCCGTTTCTGGCCGAAGGATGGCCAGCTGTGCAACCGAGTGATTCTTGTCGCCAAGAGTAGTCGCCGCCCCGCCAGCGTTGACGCCGCCGCCTCGGCCAGAGGTCGTCTTTCTAGGGGAAGGCGTCTTTGGGGGTTGGGCGTTCGCCAGGTACTCCTTGTTTTCGTCGTACTCCTTCTCCGCTCGAGTTTTGTAAACGGTGTTCAGATCCACGTCCGGGGGGTGTTCATTCATCCAGGAGATTGGTCCCGTGTGGGAATTGCCCTTAGTCCTTGATCGATCAGGGTATTCGCACACGACCTGTTGCGTTTTCCGCCGTGTCAAAGATATTGTTGAAGGCGGACGTACAACAGTTGCGGGTTCAGAAGATGGTAAACCAGGGGCATGGAGAATATGTGCGCGGCCATGCACAACGTGAACGAAAGGTACCAAGTATACGAGAGGGTCTTTTTGAAGCTGATTCTCGGGGTTGTTGCCATCGTGTACTAGTTCCTTGTACGAGCCGAGAATGGACCGTATCATTCCGCCAAGGTTTGAGCCCATGACACCACCGTGCCACGAGTACATCTCCCCCTATGATCCTAGGGTCCTAACACGTGCGCTTGCCGCCGTCCTCCTCCCAGTCGCTCCGTGTGCCTCCTACCTTCTTGGACACTTCCTAACCTTCAACAACGTACAACTACTTCAAGAGGATTGCAGCAGTTCGCAGATCGGCGTCTGGGGATCTTGCGACAGTAAAGTCTTGGGGGTGTTAAGGGCAGGGCCAAGCACAAGAACAACAAGCCGACAGCAGCAGCACCATTTCGCACCTCGACCCATTGAGATCTCGTCGCGACGATGGAATCTGCCTCACGGGCAGCTTCAAATTCCATGCCTGCATCAGTGGTGTTTTCCAGTCGCAGAACTTCTAGCTGCAGCGGCCCTGCGTTACCGCCGATTGCTCTGATGACGCAAAGCGTACCCTCCCTGACGGTGAGCCAGATAATTTTCCTCTGGTTTACGAAAGTTCCGTGTTGTATCTTACCTCCGCTCATGAGTTAATTGAAATGATACTCTCGCACAGCTGTTCCGGTCATCCCCGATCACAACAATATTCACAGTAGTGTATGATGTTGCAGCGCTCACAAGGCGGATGCTCTGTATCATTGTTCAGTGGTGCTGTATCATTGTCAAGGCGATAATTGTAATAAGTGGATGTTGACAGCGTCGATTGACACCTCGATTAACTGATCCACGTCACACGAAGTAGACATACCGGCGAACTTCCTAAGCTTCTGCTCGCACCTCCCGAGTTTATTCCACCCCAACTTTAGCGTCCTCAAGCCTCTATTTCTCCTGAGACCGCTCGCGATGCTCATGGCTGCGGATGTTCCCAGGTGATTTCTACTGAGGTCCAGCACTGACAAGGAGGTGTTTTCTCTCAGCATATTCCCGACGGTCACCTGTGTGCAGCAGTGGCATCCACAGAGCATCCGACGTACATTTTTGGCCGCTGTTGCTGCGGTTGTTGGCAGCGCTATTTTCTCCTTGTCGGGCTATCTCCTCTACCTGTCACGACAGTTTGGAAAAATCGCCATCCATCTGTCGTGCGAAATCATCCCGTCAAATAGCTAACCCTATCTGAAGTCGATTTAAGCCGCAATCGGTTGTGAGCGCAACATCTACGCGGAAGGCTACGCTGTTTGCGAGACCAAGAGTATTTCCGTTGCTTCTTCGGTGCGCGTCCTGCAACACACCGTAACGGTCGCGTCGGCCAGGCTCTTCTTCAAAGAAAGCAGCATTTCCAGATCGTTCGAGGAACCTACTTGGCCATTCACCCTTGAAACTGTATCCGGTGAAAACAGTCCTTGAACTGGCTGTCATGGCTCTTGCACACTTCGTGCCGAGCTATCTTCGAACCAAACCCTACCGCCAAGGATAAGCCTACAATATCCGACACCGCC